CTGAAAAAGGGTGGAATGCGAGATCTGGCTACAAAATACATGGTAAAACCTGGTATATTCACAAAATTTTTCAATGATGGTCTTAACAGTATAAAACCAGGTGGCCACCTGGTAATGCACTTTCTATAGGGAAAATTGGAGACAGAGAAGTAATAGTGAAACGTATGCCTCTCGACCCTCCTCCACCTGGCTCCCTTCATGCCCCCAGCTTATATATTTGGATTGCTTGTTTTTTAAGATGCTGGTTAATTTTTCATGGGGCATGATCCAAGATATCTTATTTTTAGTGACTGTAGTTTATTGCTATGTATTTCCACAGGTGTGCTGTAGACATTTTAGTATCCAGAAAGGTAAAAAAAAAATTAGGGTGAATGTTTGGCCATCTCATCCAAGGGGTGTTTAAAGAGTGCTGTCTTAGCATTTTTAGTGCATTGACCCCAGCCACTGAATAAATGTAATCCAAAAATGCTGGACTCTCGGGAAGGACAACTACGCATGATACATAGTGCACTCTTGACCGCACCCCCTGTAACAGAGGGATGAGGAATCTGTGTACATTTTTGCAATTCTAGAAGGGACAAGAGACTAGGTACCAATAAGAGAGAACTTTATAATTGGCCTCAATGAGCATACTATTCGTAAGCTTCCTGTGCATCATATCTGGCCATCTCTGGCCCACTCCTCTTCCTCCATCTCCTCTCCCAGTTTTGCTTTCCACGCTTTCTGATACAGCTTACCCATAGAAAGGAAGGAATATAGGTCAGAGATGCCACCTCTTCATTCCAGGTCATCTCATACATCTATTCTCAAAAAAGGTTCTACTTGATATGTCCTCAGTGTTGCGCTTAAGGGAATGTAAGAAGTGGGCTATTTGATGACAGCGAAACATTTCCAAATGTGTCATCTCCAAATTTTGTTTGAGATATTCAGCCAGTGTGATACCTCCATTACCTATCAAATGTCCTATCCTTTATAGGCCTTATTGATGCACTTGCTGAGGGAACTGACCCAGAGGGAAAAAAGGGGATTGTTAAAAAGGGGGATCTACAGGCATATGTGGGGACCAGAAAGTGGGAGTTTTGAAAACCATATTTCAAAGCTGGAAAGGAATGTGATAACACAGGACTCATGATGGCTCCACAATCCTTAGAAGGAAGCCATAGCCAAGGTCGAGTAGGTGGGTGGGTCTTTTCTTCCTTTTTATGATGTGTTTATGGAGTTCAAATGAAAGGAGCCTGGCTACCAGTATGGAAACCATGTTTCATCCACTTTAGCCTTGACTGGCTACTAAATGCACTCAAAAGGAGACATATTTGTGGCCCTTCAATAAAACCTCCTGTGTTTGTACGCTGTTCCTATTGTTTATGGAGCTGGCCTTGTACACAGGGACACATTCTTGCTGGAACAGGAAAGGTTCTACAGGCTGTTTCCACAAGGTTTGGAAGAGCATGGTTGTCTAAAATGTCTTTGTAAGCTGTAACCTTAAAATATTACTTTCAGGTGTATCCAGCGAAGAAAAAGCATAGAGAGCTGTTTTCATACTTTACCCATATAGTAGAGATGTAGTGATCCGGAGTCCAAAAACGTTTGGGCATACTGTGTACCATAGAAAAGCTGTCAACACCCTGATTGTTGTAAGTTGCATTTATTGTCCATGTATTTTGTTTGTTTTTTTAACTGGTGCTGTCATTGATTTTGAAAAACCATAATTATGCAGTTGTATTATTTTTGAAAACACACTACATGTAATAAATATATAAACCCCATGGAGGTATTCTTGTACTACTTTTTGTTTCCATTTTATTTCAGCGCACAGCTAAAACAGCTGTATGTGATCGAAGCCTCAGTATAAAACAATGTTTTGTCATTGGCTATGGCCATTGTGCATAAAAAAGGTTGTATGTGCAGCTGTTAAAATTCCTGATATCCCTTGTGAAGAAATTAATAGGATACACAGAAATCAGCTTTTGTTTTTCTTTGGGGGGGAAGAAAAGTTGCAACTGTTGCTGGTTTTGTTTCATTTTTCAACTGACAGTAACTTTGAAAGGGGAAAGATTGGAGACCTGTAAGTGATCTCTTTTCTTTGTTTTGAGAAGCCTAATGCATCGGCAGCCTGGTTATTAATCACCGACCTGACAAGAGAGTGCAGGTGTTTTTTGTTTAAAGAGGAGGAGGCCTGTCCATTTACATCTACCCTGCATTATGCCATGGGGACATCCCTCCAAGTTTTCTGTTAACTCTTCCCGTACCAGAGTGGCCAGCGGTGTACTTTGTTGTTGCGCTTCACTTCAACTGCTAGCGTGCATCGTTTATCAGTTCAAAGTACTCTTTGAACGAGGATTAATTAAGCATCCCCTGAAACACAATAGTCTAGGTGGGGTGCTGGTAAAGGATTTTCCCTTTGTTGTCATCGTTGCCATGACCTCAACAGGAATAATTATTCACACTGTACCTGGCATTTTTGTATGGTTTTTTTTTTTTTTCCTCCCTACTTTTTTTTTTTTTTTTTTTTAAAGAAACCACATTGTTTTGAAAGCTTGCATTTTTAATCTGCAAGTTAACCAGGTAAGGGTATAACCACGTTTATTTAAACTCCGTAACTCAAATGTTATATAAGCTTTAAAGCTGAAATCCAGATATGGAAGACACAAATGAATGCACCTGAATTTGACTTGGCATCAGCCCCTTGCTGTTTGTGTACAGCAGAGCTCAGAAATGGGAGGGGGAAGCAGCATGGGAAGCCAAACAAATGTGCTGCAGTGTAGAACGTTGATCGGAGGAGAGAGCAAAGTAACAGATAAGCATTGGTGTTCTGCTTCTCCTTTCGCTGTCCAGTCACAGGGTGGGGATGGTGATAAGGATGAGAATTGTAAGTGAAAGGGAAACGGTAGAAGAGAAATATTGGGTCTCCTACCCTGCTTTGGTGTTGGAAGAGTGAAAATCTCAGGACTGAAAAGGCAAAAAAAAAAGGTCCTTCGGCAGGTAAAACCTCAACCATATATATTTCATATGTGTATTTAGTTTTCCCGGCGCTCGGCTTTAACATGTTAATGCAATGTAAGAACGAATTTTCAAAATTTTTTTACATCTGCTGCTTTTACCTAATGATCCAGCTATGAATTATTATTATTATTATTATTATTACTACGAGTTTATATAGCGCCAAAGGGTTTGCTCAGCGCTGTACAATAGGGGGGGACAATACATGGCACAGTACAACAAAGACAGACAGCGTACGAGGGGTAAGAGGGCCCTACTCTTACGAGCTTACAATCTAGGAATTATGCCTTATACAGGCACTTCCTCTTATCAGGTGACAACACTCCATCCCTGTCCCCTAAATTGTGCTCCTGTGTTGTCACCCTGTTCAGTTGGCTGTTCCAACAAGCATTACACAAATGTGGTTCACATATTGTCACTATCGGGAAACCCACTCCGAGGACGTTGAAGAGAAATCTAAGCAGGGACATAACTTGAGAGCATCAAATCCTTTTCAAATATATAAAATTTTGTTTTATAGTAGTTCTTCAGATTTACCAGTCTGTCAAAGTTTGGGATCTAGAGATTATCTGTTGCAATCATTTTCAGTCCATGTGCTGTCACTGTCATTGGATAGCTTTGGAAGTATTCCAGTTTCCAAGGGTAAAATCCAATCCATTTGGTCAGTATCTACAGGATAGAGCGTGCCACACTGAAACTTCATTATCAGTTAATGCCAAACTCCTGGCACTGCTTCTATCTTTATGGTTAATGGACTATTACAGCTGGAATATTGGACTCCATGTTGCAATGAGGAAGGCAGAGTCATAATAGTGTGATGGGGATCCAGTGCAAGATTTTAAAAATGCTCCAAAAAACATTTTGTTACAGCTAAATTATTTTTCATAATTTTCATGGTTTGTTAAATTGAATGTCTCATTCATTCATGACCGTGATAGTTTCTCCATAAATCTCACTACCTAACTTACTATGACTATCCCCACACACCACTGCTCTGCATTTGTAGCTCTGGAGCACTGGAGCGCACACCGGCGCACCACCCAGTCCTAATATATAGTAGATCCAGTTTAGTTTGTCTCCTCGTGAAGCCCAAAGCGTGTCTTTGGGAGGAGATGAGCTGAATTCGATCTATATAGTGGGATGTAGGCGGTCTGCCGGTGTGTGTGCTTCGGATATCCTCAGAGGTCCAGACAGGCCCTTTGGATGCCGGCACTTGGCCATTATTGGAGTCATCAGGCACATAAGTATTGATGTTTTGAGCGGCGCTGTTGCTTGTATGGGTTACCTGTGTGTCCACTGTGTGGGGTGCTGTCAGAGCTCACACAGAGTTAATGTTCTTGTCAGGTGACAGTGTTTGTGCCTGGCGATTGGACCCTCAGGCCTGGGCACTGCATCCTAGGAGGTGGTTATCTGCCATGCCATATTATGCTACCCCATAGCTGGAAGTGTCAGGCATTGGCGATGATTGCAGAGCAATGGACAGCTGGTGGAGGCACTTGATAAAGACTCAACTAAAAATGTTAATAAAGTGACTGATAAATATAAATGTCTTTTAGACTGAGTAAAATTACACTAAAAATGCAATTTGTTTAAACAATATGTCTGGGTAGACTTTACTAAAGGATCGCAATTTTTTTGCCTTTCCTGATCTTCCCAGATTGTAAGCTCGAAAGAGTAGGGCCCTTTACCCCTAGAAGCTGTTCGTAGCTGCTGTAATGTTTCATGTATTGTCCCCCCCTCTTTTGTACAGCGCTGAGCAAACCCTTTCGCTATATAAACTCAATGTATGTAATGTAATAATGTAATCTTTCTTTGCTATTTTCCTTTTCCAACACAAGTCCTTGAAATATTTTATCTCTTCTCGTTCAGTAATCTTGCTCCTGGTCATGACATAAAACTGATGAATTGTGCGTTTCTTTTACAGGCGACTAGACGCTAACCATATTGTCACCGTGCCAGATGACAGCTTTGAGGGCCTTGTACAGCTTCGACATCTGTGGCTGGATGACAACAGTTTAACAGAGGTCCCGGTTCGTCCCCTCAGTAACCTCCCATCCCTTCAGGCCTTAACGCTGGCTCTGAACAAAATCACTCACATACCGGATTATGCTTTCTCAAATCTGTCAAGCCTTGTTGTTTTGTAAGTATTTCCAGGTCAATATTTCAAGGAAATGAAAAATTAAATCGAAAATAGCAGATGTTTTTTCCTTTAAACGGGGGGAAGAATAGCATTGGTAAAATGATCTGTTATGACGTTTGATTTCTTAGATAAGTGTAAGATAGGTTTCCCTTCTGTATTACTTTTGGTAGGATCGTTGTGTGTGTATATATATATGTATATATGTGTGTGTGTGTGTGTATGTATATATATATATATATATATATATATATATATATATATATGTATATATGTGTATATGTATATTAAAAAAAAAAAAAAACCTCTATGGAACCTAAATTTATTGACACTGGGCTATTACACACATACTGTATATGCTTGTTGGACATCCCCTTCCAAAAGCCATCTGAATTAAAGCGACCCTGTCACCTTGCCCATTCAAGATAAAGTGACATAAAAGAAATAAGTGAGTGCTAAAAGTCACTGTAGCAGCTAGAACACCAAAAGGCACCAATCAACCTCCAAAAAGATCATATAAACTAAGGGTGCAGCGCTAAAATGAAATGACATGAAATATTGCACATAACGTAAACATATATTAAAGTGCAAATCAGCAAAATCATGTGACTTATTAGTGTCAAACCACACAAGTCACTGAGCGTGACCATAAAGTGCATATAAAGTGCGAAAGCAAACTGTTATGCATTTATAAGCACACCTACATCTACAATTGGGTTAAGCGTATAGTCCAAAATCAAGCTTGAAACAATCTCATAAGGTGCATGAAAAATCTCCAGGATTTCCTATAACTGGTATCAGCATCCAGTAAGTGATGGTGTATCCAAAAATATATAGACTGCGCACTCACCAGATGCGCAATCAGTAAGCGCATTTAAGAGATAAAACTTAGTGAGTTTCCATGTGTTTTCACTAAGAGTGTTATCTCTTAAATGCGCTTACTGATTGCGCATCTGGTGAGTGCGAAGTCTATATATTTTTGGATACACAATCACTTACTGGACGCTGATACCAGTTATAGGAGATCCTGGAGATATTCCATGCACTTTATAGGATAAAGTGACAGCGTGTTTGTAAAGGTGCCCTTCTACCGTTCCCTGTGCTCCCTTGCTGCACCAGCCTCTGCTGCAGCTGGAGAAAATACCAAGTGCTTCCAGGTATGGGGAACATCTGATCTTCTATGTGGCAGTGCTCGCGTCTAACAGCCAATGGCTAGGCCCAAGCACTGTCACATGATGAAGGGATGATGTGATTTTCCCGTAGGCTGCAACACCTCAGATTGTAGTGCTGCAACAGTAGCTGGAGATTATAAGTGGGGTGCAGAAGGCCTTTACAAACAGTCACTTTCCCCTGCATGGGCAAGGTGACAGAGCCTCTTTAATATCGCTGTCCACCACCTTTGCGGCTACTACAGCCTTTGTTCTGTGGAGGCTTTCCACCAAGTTTTGAAGTGTGACTGTGGGAAAATGTGTTCAACCAAAAGAGAATTTATTGGGCCAGATGTTAGACAAGAAGATCTGGCTTGCAGTTGGTCTTCCAGTTCATGCCAAAGGTGTCCATTAGGGCTGGGCCGGCCTCTCTGGTTCTTTCACGCCAAACATTTTAAACCATCTCACGCTGGAACAGAAAACGGGTTTAACAAACGGTTTCTACAAGGTTTAAAGCATAGAATTGTCCAAAAAAAAAGTCTTTGTATGCTGTAGAATTAACTGTACCTGTCACCTGAACTCAATGTTTGGAGGGGTTTCAGCATACTTTGACCATGTAAGTGGATGGGATAGTAAGGTGTCCAGAAAATTGTAACTATATTAAAGCAGAGGAAGAAGACTAGTGACTGTTTCGATGAGCAAACGATTTATGAATGAATGGTAGGCGGCAGCAATTTTACATTTGAATAATTTTAATGTGGAAGTTTTTTTAACCCTTTGACCTCTCTTCTCCTGCACCTCCTCATCTCCATCCTCTCTATGTACAACCTGCATAGCAACCCCTTCAATCCTGCACAATACCCCCCTCATCTTCATCCTCCCACTGTATGTGACCTGTACATTATTCTCCACCACCTCCTTCTGTGTGACCTGTACACTAGTGATGCTCTTTCTCTGGTTCATCATTGCTAAGCTCTGTGTATTAACCACCTCAGTACCAGCATGGTTCTAAATTTCCAAAAAAGTGTGGCAAAAAAAAGATTCACTTTGGAGGATCTGATTTTCAAAAAGGATTAATTTCTGCAGTGTTTTTGTATTGTCCTGGCATTTTATTTGAAATGTTTTGTAACAGAAACTAGGGGAAACAGGATTTTCTCTCCTTTTTTTTTTTTTTTAAATATATGAAAAAATAGCTCTTAAAGTGGTTGTAAATGATTTTTTTTTTTAATTAAAATAAGTATATTTACCTGCTGGGTGAAATGGTATTGCACAAAGTGGCCCCAAACCACCTCTTCTCGGGTCCCCTCCTGGCACTCTAGATTATTCCTATTCTCTTTGTGCTTTATGATGGTGCACCTGCGGGCTTGCTCCCTAGCCGGGCTGTGTGTGTACATAGAGACACACAACGCGGTTACGCAAAACCCCACTCACCGCTCCCTCCTCACAAGATATGATTGACAGCTGTTGGCTCTGCTGTTGCCCCAATGTCCTGTGAGGAGAAAGAGAGGAGAGCGTTGCTGCAGATGGCACAGTGCTGGATCGAGAGAGAGCTCAGGGAAGTATAGGGCCTCATGCACACAGGACATTAAAATAAGTTAATTCATTAAAAAAAAAAAAAACCTCTTCTGCCAGCAGTGTTTTTGTGGAAAAAACTGCCTGACACTTGTAAAAGTATCTAATGCTTTTACAAGTGTTTAGGCGCATTTACAAGCGTCAATCGCTTTGGCATTAATTCATTTCATTAGCCAGAATGATCATTTATTATGGCCATTGAAATGAATTGATGCTCAAGCGCTAAAAGCGGCTAGCGTTTAGGTGCGTTTAGCCGCGCCAAGTGTTTTTTTTTTTTTTTTTCTTTTTTGTGCCAAATCGCTGCTGCTCCTGGACACACTGGCTCTGGGTTTTTTGTCCTGCTGGTAAATGCTACTGCTACTAAAAGCTTCTAAATGTCTGTGTGTATGGACACACAGGATAACATGGAGGGCAGTTTGGAAGCAGTAAAAAAAAAAAACGCTTGACGCCCCTGAAAGTGGCTGCAAAAACACCATGTGTGCATGAGGCCTAAGTGGGGTGAGGGGGCGATACAACTGCTGGGGCATTTATTTATTAAAATGGTTGTAAAGGCTGGACATTTTTTGCCCTAATGCAGTTCCTGCAGTAAGGTAAAAAAAGTCTAAAAAAGTGTAAAATTAATTTGGGTACATTGTTGCATGGCCAAGTATTTCAGTCAAATTTTGAGAACACTGGAAACTGAACAGTGGTCCGGTACTTGTGCTATTGTTCTTTGTCTGTAGCGGCTACTTTATTAATTTATACCTATCCACTAGGGGCGGACTGATAACTCATGGGGCCCCGGGCAATAGGGGATCATGGGGCCCGTGTCCTCGCCCACACCCAAAAAAGCCTATGAAAAAGCCAATGAAAGGTACCAGGGGCATCTCATGGGGCCCCCTACTGACCCCGGGCCCTCTGGCAGTGCCCGAGTGCTCAAATGGTCAGTCCGCGCCTGCTATCCACTATTAATACAATAACAATAAAAAGGAGGAACAAGCATGGAAAAAATGACGCCATAATAACAGCGAGAATTACCAAGACTGGAAAAAAAAAGATTTAAGAGGGGATGTTTTTACGGTTATTTTTCTTTTCTTTTTTTTCGGTCTGATATTCCATTTGGAATATGTTAAGGGGGCAGTTTAAATACCAATAGTTCTTCCTGGATTTCTTTAACCAAAGGCAATGTAACTGAATGCTGACAGGTTTAGTTTAATCTGCAAACTGTTTGCATTTTATTCAGTAAACTTTTCTCCTTTCATGCTCCTAGACATCTCCACAACAATAAAATCAAAACTCTAGGACCGCACTGCTTTGATGGGTTGGATAGCCTGGAAGCGCTGTAAGTACTGCCTGTTGCATAACTTGACTCTACAATATTTATCCATCAGATTATTTCTTAGCAAGGATCAAAGAGCTGATGGCGTGACACGAGTGTGCCTGTGTATTGTGTCAAGACGAGTACTTCCTTTCATTATGGATCCCTTGCTGGAGGGGCTTTGACTGCGTGGATGGGCTTAATCAACAAAGCATTTAATTGCTATAATGGAAATAGATACAGGATGTGGGCACAGTTCACACACTGCATGTAAAGGCAGTTCTAGAGATGTTTTTTTTACAAAAGTAAGCAATGTAGGTTATATAATGAACTGACCACATCAGGTCTCATTCATCAAAATATTTTCTGCGAGCAGTGTCTCTGTAGATCTGCAGCAACCATCCAAATAAAAAAAACGTTTGCTGAAAATGATGGATAATGAATGTGACAATGGTGGTTTTATAATACTCCTTTATTTTCAGCACTAACAAGGAAACAATTAATTTTTGCATTTATTTTTAGTTAGGGCGATGAAATTATTTTGTATGAATATTTCCTATTTACCATCTGCAGCCAACAGGTGGAGCTTTAAACAAATATAGTTAATATAAAGCTGGCTCTACACGGTTTTAAATTCGCTCAGTGGGTGACCCTGTTGGCCAACTCCTGGCCTACATCACTCAACTGAAAAAACCAAGAAGCCAGGTGGTAAATATCAACCAAACAGCACCTAGATGTTTTCAGTTGCAGGCACTGTTGGAGGGGAAAAATCTGTTTGATTATTTTTTTTTTTTCGATTTTATTTTATTTTTTTTCCCCCTGTTCAGCCTCCACTTGTATGTGTATGACCAACTTACATCTCCCAGATCAGGCACTGTGCTAAACATGCCTCAGAGGAAGAACAACATCCCCCTTCAAATCAAAGGCCTTTGCAAGAAAGCCTAAAGGTAGTGCTGGGCTTTCTCAGGAAGCCCAGCAACCTTTTGCAGACCGTGTCATGTATATACCTCTATAGTAAAATGCGTACTCGTTAAAAAAAAGTATACAAATTGAGAATATATCCCATTGTAAATGTTTTTCTTACAAAAAGTTAGATTTAAAGTAATATTAGAGTTTATAAAGATTTAAAGTTTTACAAAAAAGAGAAAAAATGGGCACAAAAGATGTCAGTGTCCTGAGAATGGCATTAAAAACTTTAGGTCCCATGCACACATTTTTTCCTTCCCCTTTACTCCAGGGGAGAAAAAATCTGCTTGAAAAAGTGCGTAAAGCCACGTTTCGCAAACTCATTGAGGCACATCAAGCGTTTGGGCGTTCATTCGTCCCATTGGCCAGAATATTAATGTTATCTGGCTATTGGAATGAATGCTCAAGTGTTAACGGGCCTAGCATTTAGGTGCAGTTATGCATGTTCAGCTTTTTCATACCCAAACACTCCTCCACTGAACGTGCAAGAGATGTGTTTTTTTTTTTTTTGTTGTTTTTTTTTTTCTGTCTCTAATTGCTTCTCTTCTATTACACCTGTAAATTCCTATGTGGGCATGGCTGCATAGGCTAGCATAGAGGCACGTTTACAGGCTGAAATAAAAAGTCACACTTGTAAAAGTGGCATTTTTTTTGCGCTCTGTATGCATGAGGCTTTAAGATAAAAAGTACATCGGTTTTTTTTTTCATAGCTTTAGAAGCCTATATTCTGTGAAAATTTGTATAGTCTGTCAATCTTTGCCCTCTAACTGGTTACACGTAATACAGTTTGTACAGTCTGTAAGGTTTATGGGAAAGTGGCAGAAATATGAATGTGTGTGTATATATATATATGTAGGTGTGTATATATAGATAGATAGATTTATATAGATAGATATTTATTATTATACAGTATTTATAAAGCGCCAATAGTTCGCTCAGCGCTGTACATTACAAAGGGAGACAGAACATGCGACAGTACAATAACAATACAATGTGATACACGAGGGGTTCGAGGGCCCTACTCTTTCGAGCTTACAATCTAGGAGGGAGGGTATGTATCTACATAGAGATATCCTATCTATCTATCTTCTATCTATCTATGTTTGAACATATCTACAAATATTATAACGCTTTTAAATTAAAAGCTATTGGCTTTGCAGTATTTTTAGTAAAATTCTATATAAATGAATTAAAGTGAGATTTCATTGGTGGTGTTGTAAAAATTGGTTCTATTGACTACCTTGCACACTGTTCTCCTTTTGAGACTGTCGCTACAAAACAGTGTAGCTGATCAAGTTAAATCTGCCCGTGCATACTACAAATATTTCAGGATTATTTTTTTTATTACAGTTTGATTGTAACATCATCTCATTTTTGGACCCTGCAAACCAAAACTTGGTCCAACATAGACTGTACAAGCTGATTGTAATGTGTATGGGCTACTTTATTTTCTCTGCCATTTCAGTTTAATAAGGAAAGTTTATAAATAATAGGTGAACATAAACTGGCAGAATTTGGCAAAGATTGTAATGGATACCTTAAGACCTCAGAAGACATCCCCGGACACTATATCTGCAGGGCAGCAGAGCAGTATAGAGAGCCTATTGTCTGCTAGTTATTGTTCCCATAAGATAAGCATGGCGCCAGTTGTGTGTGCTCTCTGTCACAGGCATGCATGCTTGGGCAATATGAGTGTACACGTCTGTTTTCTAATCTATAAATAAATAAAAATGAAATTGCCTTTGCCAATTTTAGTAGGTTAAACGTATCGGTTTTGGCACATTCACACAACAATGACTGTAACACTCGGCATCCGGCTGTATATATGGTTTGTGGTGTACGGACATTCATTTTTAATAGCAACCCAGCTCCTTTGTGCAGTGTGTCCCACAACACTCATCTGTTGCATTGCTCTACATTCAGATGTGCTTTGAAAGATAAACAAGATCTACTTTTTTTTTGTGAGCTTGTTACATTGACAACCCATTGAAAAAGAATGGGCTTCTAACGCAATGCACAAGAACATAGGCGTTACAGCACATGACCCTTACATGTGGATACAAACTGATCTTTAGAGTTTCAGAAAATATTTTAGAGAGACCCTGTAGCCAGACCTTTAAAGTGGCACGAAGACCCCAATCACAAGAACTTGCGTTCCTGCTCATGATTTTGTTAGGGCAACCCATTCAAGTGAATAGCACTGTGTACCATTTTTACTCCAAAGAAGCTCCGGGACCAAATTTAGGCCCTGAGATGGGAGCACCTCTGCACTTGCATTTTGATGTGATTCTTGTGCATTTTGTCATGCTACATCCGCTGCAAAATTGCACTGTATTTGGAAAGCCATTCAAGATGAATGGCACCCAAATGTGCATTGCGCATTATTCTACGATTCCAAACCGGCCATATGTGAACGGGACCTTCACGGTATCCTTGTTCTCTAAAAATAAGTTATACACATAGGCTACTTAACCACTGGTCACTTTTACCCCCTGCCTATCCAGGCCAATTGTCAGCTTTCAGTGCTATCACACTTTGACAATTGCACAGTCATGCAACACTGTACCCATATGAATATTTTTTTTGCATTTTTTTTGAGACCGATAAAACTTTATATTGGTGGTATTTATTCACCACTGGGATTTTTATTTGTTTGCTATGTAAATGAAAAAGTCTAAACCTTTTGGGGAAAAAAACTGTTTTTTTTTTATAAAATTTAGCAAATAAACGATCTTTCTTCATAAATCTTGGCCAAAATGTATTCAGCTATCTTTTTGGTAAAAAAAAAAACCCAAATTAGTTTATAACCAAAAATTATAATTTTTTTCTTTTTTTTTTTTTTTTTTTAACATACTGTCACCTTAGCAGTACAATGTCACCATAGTGACACTGTACTACTTGTGGGGGGTGATGATGATTTTTTTTTTTTTTTTTTACACTGATTGCTTTTACACCCATAAACGCTGTAAAAGCAATCATGTATCCTTCTCTCTGGCTGCATACTTGCAGCCATTGAGAAATACTGTGAGAGCTTTGCTTGGTCACAGCTTGTCTCATGGTACAAGACTGTTGTTAATAGCCTTGTACCATGTGACCTCTGTGATCATTCACAGATTTCTCAAGTAGTAAGCAATGATGTCGGGAAGTGACATCTTGCTTACTCCTATTCATGTGATCACTGTTTGGCCAATCCGTGATCACATGAATCGGGAGCTCACACAGAGGTCCCATACAGTGATCGGTGTTCCGCTGTGTCTTCCGGACACAGCGGCCACTGGATCACGATGCGGCGCGCACAGTTAGAGAATGTGGTGCTGTTTATAAATGGCAACCCACTTCAGCGCTGCTCCCGCCTGGCTGTTTATGTACATGGGCCGGACGGGAAGTGGTTAATAGCCCTTTAGTTCATTTTTCATGAAATCTGTCCTTACTGCGTATTTCTGCTTCCTTGTAACATCCTTTGTCTGCCCCCTTTCATTTGTTTTGAACAAGCAGTGCATGTTGTGGTCACAAATGCTGCTTTATGCACACTACAAATTCGTAATCCATCTCGAGAGCAAGCAAGAGAGGATGGCTATGTTCTTGCATATGGTGGGATATGTATGGTGGGACTATGTGACTTTAATTTCAGCAACAAAACCCTCCCTTCTGTAGGCATCCAAAAGCCCTGAGAGTGCTCCAGGGTTCCTCCATCTTGGATGTGATGTTGGCAAACTCCAAACTGCCAGAGACATCATGCTCTGTAAAGCATTCTCTTAATGGCACTCATGCCAAGCTGTCAACCTCTTGTGTTCACAATGCAGCAAGGCAGCTTCGTGGCATGGGACCTGGAAGTAAGTGGAGATCGCTGAAGTAGCGGTTTCTACTACAGTAAAGTACAGCTTCTACTACCATGGTTGTGGGGAACCCCAGGGTTCCTCGAGTTGTGGCTGAATGACCCCACATTTGATGTCTGAAAGGTTTCGGGACAAAGCCACATGGCAGAACCAGTTGCATGACGGCAATGATCATTTTAGCTGTCTGTAAAGGTGTCGATCTGACCACCATTATAACTAGGA